TAAACGATTGTAATTATTACATTTCTCGGTTTTACCAACAAATAAAATACAAATGTTTATTCAATAAATATAAGCAGAACCAAACACATACATCATTATCTCCCAGAATGGCACATTAGTATAAGGCAAATTGTGCATATTACAGTGGTCCTTACAAATGGGGCGATCCTCCTGAATGAGAGTGGTTTTGATATTGCTGGAGGCTCTAACCAATTCATTGTTTTTCTTGTTCACTGAAAGTTTTACTTTTATGTATTAGAGAATGGGGGAGTTTTTAGGCTAAGATAAACCCTCGGATGGTAAAGAAGAAAAGAGGGCAAAATTGGATTTTTAAATATGAATACAGTCACGTGCTGTAACATGTAAACATGAAATGGCATTCTAACGGAAGGGTGTATTTGTCCTATTCAACCCTTTTTTTTGTTGGATAAAGTATTGAAGTTGTTACACATATATAATTCTATAATTTAGGAATATTGTTTAATATAAATAAAATATTATTATATTTTTGGTTTAACAAGTCAAATTCCAATTTCCTTGTCGTGCCCATACAGCATCGATTAGAATGTTATAGACTTTGGACCATACCAGGAGATTGAATTGTCAAAATTGGGAACAAATAGCCAAATTGGTTTTTAGTTGCTTTGTTGTTGTCTTAGCCAAATTTGTTATGCTACGAGTCGCCAAATTAGAAGGTTCATTTGGGCTAAAAATCATCACTGGTGGCTAAAAGTAAAAAAGAAAACAAAAAAAGTAATATATAATTAGAGTGTTTGGGACCAGATTCATGTTAATCCTAATAGGATCCATTTATCAAAATTCTATAGGGATTGAGATGAGATTGGGTTTTGACGTTAGCCCTTATAGGGTACCCAATATATGAACCCAAAGAAATCTTTATCACACCATTTCTACTTAAGAGGGGTATCACATTTTACTTATGCAATGTAAAGTTATGCACAAGATTCAAAGTATTAGAAAATATAAAGAATATTGAAAAGGCAATTTAAAGAAATGTATCTAGTTTATATATATCAAAATATATTTAAAATATGATTTTTATTTATTTTAAGTAAATTTATTTTTCAAAAATATTGTTAAGTAAAAAATTTTGAGAATTCGGGAACCTATGTGGAAATATAATCCCCATAGGTTAGGGATTAAGGTTAGGGATAGAGATTTAATTCAGAATCGGGATTGAAAATGAGAAATATAATCCCCACCCTGAACCTGCTGCATTGCTATTCCTATTTGGGAGATTAGGACAAAAAGTTAAATTGGTTTGATACACGTTTGAGATCAAGAGTATTAGGTGGGTTGAGAAATGGAAAGGGCAATTTTCATGGATACCTTACCCGTTCGTTAGATGGTGCTAATTGGAGAACCTCTTACTTTTACCCATAAATCAACTATTTGAATTTACTACAATAGCTTTTATTCGTTTTATAACATTATGGAATATGCCATGCACCGGATAACCTCATTTGTTGTACAAAGGAACTATCGACATGCCACTATTAAATTTTTTTCCTTTTAATTCTTGATTTGTACGTTATAATCATTATTCATTCACCAATCAAGTCATTTCGACTTTAACATTTAGACCAATATTTGATAAATTAATAAGAGATTAACCAATTAGAACAAAAAATGAACACAATTAAATAGTTATTTAATTATGTAATTTAAAATAATAATAATTATTTTTATTTAAGATAAGTATTATTAAATAATTTTATAATTTTTTTTTTTTTTACTTCTATGAGATTCAATCTGTGGGGGCAGCTCCACTATCTATAGACCATTCACTCACATGGGAGTTTCAAAAGGCTTAACCCACGAAGATGATTCCACAGTCTGTTGGCTGCCAACTCCCATAGGGTAGAAGGTTCGACTTGTAGAGATATCTAAGGTTAGAGATCAGTGCAACTGAACGACCCCCTTAGTCAAACTAACCCTGTTAAATATGTTAATAGGTCTTAAAGTTTCAACTTAGTTTGATGTAAAATATATGTATAAATCATAATCTTAAATCATTTAAAGCTTTTCTACTATATTTTTTTTTTACTAGTAGAGGGCACGCGCATATGAGGTTGAAAATATGATGAAATTATTCTTGAAACAAAAATAAAAATAAAAAAGAAAGAAAAATACAGTTATGCTGGTAAACATCTACTGATCAACTTGATTAATCACTCGGATCATTCAGTGTAATGGTCTAAACTATGTTTTAACAGGGTTTTGGCATAGGATGCAAAACAAGAGGAAAATATAGTTAAGCTGAATGGCACACTCACCTTGTGTAATCCAGTTCTACTAGATAGTTGTGTATGTGACACAAAATGTAGTTCACCTTTATAATTTGGTTTGATAATATTAGAAACAATCAAAATTAAAGCAAAATTTATTGTACATACTATGGAAATTGTTGCAACATAACTAAAATGTGAATCCAATCAGTCATAAATGAACACATCGACACGAACCACTTGCATTACTAAATGTTGCTTCTGCTCAGTTTGGGGAAGAGCATAAATGCAAATATGTACAATGTAAATACATACAAAATATAAGGCTTTATACTCTACATATTTGCATGTATACTCCTTCCCAACTCAGCGTTCAGAAAAAAGAACAAAGAATGTAAAAAGTAAAATAAGCAAAGAGGTGTCTTTGGGATTTAAAAGTTTGATCATGGAAGAAGGGGCCAATGGGGGAGAGAACTGAAACTCTCTCTTTTGGCTGTGTTTGGTTGTAGTGCAATTTTACTTACACTAGTACAAATGTATAGGAGTGCAAATGAAAAAAAAAATACAAATTCTCATTTAATTTTATTTTGGATTTTACTTTATTCTGCTTTATGTTTTAATTTATGTGTAAATTTTTGCATTGCAACCAAATACAAGGTCAGAAGAAGGTTTGAATGAGTTGATCAACAAACTGAACTACTTCACCTATAAATAGTACTTACTAGGTACAAATCAAAACCGTCTCCCCTTTTATCACAGGTTACATGATTTGAATGAGTTGAACAACTGAACTATTCCGCCTATAAATTAATGGTACTATGTACGAATCAAGTCAGACAACATTTGTTCATTATTCATTGGTTCAATATTTAAGGTACTGAAAAAAAAACGTGTTTGTCTTTTTAAAATTTTCCAATGAGTGATGAACACAACAGTTTTCATTTTAGGCTGTGGTTGTTTTGAAAGAAAAGGTAGGGACTCAGGTTTCCTACCTTTCCCTTCTTTTCCTTACATTTTGTTTTAAATCAAACACAAAGATTTGAAAAAAAAAAGAAATTACCTAAAACACATCGCAAGGTTTTCTTTGAGCCAAAGCTTTTTGTATGAACTTATGAAAGAAGGGCAACTTTACTATATTTGAAATATATTTTATTAATATGCTTAAAAAATGTATGGATACAGAGTGATTTAGGATAAACATGAATCACATAAATACATCAATAACATTAAACCTAAAGCTCAAATGATGAGCCATTGATTGAGATGATTACGCCGAAAAAAAGAAAAAGAAAAACAGAGATGCAGGATCGAACCCACAAAACCACAGGCGCTTTGCTTTGTGATATGACCAATGAGCCTCTGCTTTATCTACAGCTACAAGTCCCTACTAGTGTATTCTATGTAATGCCAAAAGATGACTATTAGCACTTAACAACAAGTATTTTAATAGTTTATGTGAAGCAATATAAATGTTACATGTTAACTTCAATTCTGCATTTACTAAAAATTCGAGAAATCGCCCTAAATATGATGCCAAATTATTAATTATAAGTTAAAAACTTAGAACACCAAAACCCATGAAACAATTTTAAACTAATTTATATGAAATAAATTAATATATTATATGCCATTAAAATAATTGAAACAATTAGTAAATAATGCATTTAATTATCAAATTGGAAAATAAAAAGTTAATTCAAATTAACCTTAATAAGCTTACTAATATCTATATAACTTTTTATGAATTACTACATTTATATTGAACCATTAAGATACAGAGAGAGAGAGAGAGAGGTTCATGACAATGGTACAAGATTTATAAATAAATAAATTTAAAATACCAAATGTGCAAGTGCAACTAATAAAATTTAATAACTAAAATAATTATTGTGTACTGTATTTTATTTGCTTTTATTTCTATAAATTATGAAATTAAGAAAAATTATACAAATTTTTGAATTGATCTAGATCATCTATAGATCCATTAATTATATGGTTTTTTTCTTACCATAAAAATCATATAAAATATCATGAAAAATAAATTGTCTTTTGCAATTCTTAATTTTTAGAAAAATCCATAGATATACAAGCAAAAAACTTCGTAGTTTCAACAGGAAATGGGCATATCCATGCATTTGAAACACCAAAGGCATGTAAATTTACTGAAACCTCAATAACTGGAAGTAATTGAAGGAAGAAGAAGAAGAAAAGAATAATAAGAATAAGAACAATGATAAAAGGAGACAACGACAAAAGTAAAAATAATAAGGGAGCTCCTCTATACAAGCCTGTGCCATGCATATAGTCAAAATAACTCCCTTTTTAAGATAAATTTATTCAATTAAAATACTAAAAATTTCAAGTGACAATAAGAGGAAGACAAGTGGACGACACTAACAAATTGTGGACCAGAGAGAGGTGCAAGTTGGACAGGGTCCGGTCAAGCATTAAAGGGGCCGGGGGGACATGCACGGAAATTCGTTAAATCTCATTTCATTACCCACCCAATTTGCATTTTTCACCTTTTAATTTCCCTCCTCAGCCCTCCCCCACAACTGAATTGGAGGAGATTGTACAGGTGATTGATTAATCCAATTCCACCAGACTCCTCACTCCCCAGGAATACAGAAATCTGATAGACATATATAGACTCTCTAGGGAAGCTCCCTACATGAACCATGAGTAGTACCTACCAATTACCATGCATACACAAGAGCTTACGGAGGGACGGATCAGGACTCAGGTCGACCATCTCACTCAAAGTCTCCAAGTCGCAGTCACAGACGAAAAGTGATCCTTTTTTGTTAGAGCTAGCCACGAGCATAGCAAGCAGAGAGAGAGAGAGAAGATGGGTGATAGGTCATAGATTATGATGAGTGATGGTTAGATAGGTAACAGCTCACTGCTAGCTTGCGCCTAATGCGCGTACACAATTTGTACTCCCAGTCCCACGGTCTCTCACCCGTTAAAAGACAAAAACACTAGAATCCCAAACGCCAGGATGGAATCCGCGAACTACCCACGCATTTGCGATTTGCCTCTCTCACTCCTCACTCCTATATAAATTGCTAGCAACTTCCTCTCGTTAACTAATTCCCTTAACCTTCACACCCTCTCCCGCCCCCCGTGTGTATTGTTGTTGTATGGCCAAACCCTCTGCTAACGTGCGCCAGTAAGACCAACTAACACCAGAGCTTGCCCCTGTGGCTGTGGCCTTTTCTTCCACCATAGACTCTCCTATCTGTCCCACGTGTGACTCTCCGTCGCCCTCGCCCAGAATGATCGTGACATCGTCCGCTCCCGGCGCCTCTTCTCACCAACCAGTCGCCGGCAAACACCCAATTTATCGAGGAATCCGCTGCCGCAGCGGCAAATGGGTTTCCGAAATCCGGGAGCCGCGGAAGTCTACTCGGATATGGCTCGGCACGTTCCCCACACCGGAGATGGCAGCCACCGCCTACGACGTGGCAGCACTTGCTCTCAAGGGTAGTGACGCCGTCCTCAACTTCCCCGAAACTGTCAGCTCATACCCAATTCCAGCGTCTGCATCACCGTCCGACATACGCGCTGCAGCCGCTGCAGCAGCCGCTTCAAGGCTACCCAAGACGGAATCCATCGACGACCAGCCATTCAGCCACTTGGGGAATGTGGAGCTCGACACCGACTCCAATCCTCCCACGTCGAGGGAAGAATTTATTGACGAGGAGGCACTGTTTGACATGCCTAAGCTGCTGGTGAACATGGCAGAAGGAATGCTGTTAAGCCCGCCGAGGATGAATCCACGAACCAGTGACGACTCGCCGGAAAATTCAGATGGAGAAAGCCTATGGAGCTACACTTGATCTTGATAGAACTCCTGCACCACTCACTCATCAAATAAAAAATGAAAAAAAAAAGATAGTAATAAATAAATAATGAGTGGTTCGGGTGATATGGGTACATATATAATCGGATGATTCAGTCCTCAGACTGTCTTGTTTTTCCACTTTGTGGTTTTTGAAGCTAAGAGGATCGATCTCGCGTAGATCCTACCTACTGACTTTATTAAATGCGTGTACCATGCTTTTGTAATATATGTTTTCTTGTTTTCACGCAGTTACACTTCCTTGTGTTTCGCCATTAATTTCAGCAGCTTTCTTTCTGAGTTTCTGTTCTTTGGTTTCCTGCACATTCATTAGATCATTAGTGTGAAGTGATTTTTATTTATATTAAGAGTTTAGGTTGATTGTTTCCTGTCCAAGAAGAACTTCTTCTTCTTCTTCTTCGGTTTCATGTACAAGAGGAAGAGGTTCTGTACTGTAGGGGGTACGAGTTGATGGTTTCCAGCCCAAGAAGAAGAGGTTTTCACAAAAAAAAAGAACTAGTTCTGGAGTAGGTTCAGCTTCCTTCATCCCTGGTTGAATCCAATATTGAATCCATATCAGTACCCAAATCTTACTAGATTTGCAATGTAGGACCAAAAAAACATGGGTACTTATGAACTGGTTCTGGGTTTTATCATGTTTCTGTGGCTGATCAGTTTTCCACATTTCAGTGTTTTATAAGACTCTTGGGTGAGAGAACCTGGAGCCGACCTTGCCTTGTTTATTGAATGACATTCAACTTTTTAATATTATAAAGAACAGGAGGGCCTACCTTTTAGCAAGTAAGCAAACTTACTTCCTTCTCTCCTTATCTTGTCTACCTCTCTAAGAATCAAACCAACCCCTTCTCTCTCTCTCTCTCTAAAAACTATTTCTGAGAAGTTGTGTTGTGGGTATTGATTAACGTGTGGAATGATGTAAACCTCATTGAAGGAAAACAAGATCAATTCAAAGTTTAAATTATACTTAATTGCTTTCAATTTTTAAATATATAATAAGCTTTATGAAGCTTATCAAAGCTTCTAAGAAAGTTAATAAAGGGAACCTTTTTTCTGTGATATTTCCTTCTTTTTCCTTCAAGGATTTTGAACTTTGAATTTGATGGGTCCCAAAAATAATAACCTCTCCTGCCCATGCTAAGGCTCCCAATAATAAATATATTTTTTGATGGTACAGTTGAACCACCAAAGAACACCATGAACCTTCTTCAACTTGCATTAGGTTTCTGCTTAGATAGATACAACAGAGAGTATGCATGAGTGGCAATATATATGTATGGCACTCCATGCTCTATATCACTTGTTGTCCTCAGATCACATTGACACACACACACACACACGAATGCATCTTAAAACCCTAATAAGCAACCCTTTATGACTCGACTAGAAAAGAGAAAAGATTAATGGGGTGCTGGTTGCCACGTGAAGTGAAATTATTTCGTTGTAGTTCTCACTAGCATTCGAGGAACATGGATTGTCTCAATTTCGAATGAACTTCCTCAGTCATAGTTAAGAAAAAAGATGAAATTGCTTTTGTTTCTTGAAAACCTGAGATGACATGATTCCCTTTTTTCTTGCTTTACAAACCACAACCCAAAATTGCTCCATCTAGACTGTGTTGGTTAGACAGAAACGCAGATTTATGACCAGATTCTTATTTTCTACTTTATAATCTAGTCTCGAATTGGATACAGTATAAGTTGTCCAATACTTTCATTCAACGACCCTTTTGATTTTGTGCTTTTCAACGCAACTGAAATAGAAAAATATTAGTGCTGATTAAGATCCATCAGATCAGTTTTTCTTTTCTTTTGTTTTTCTACTTCATGGAGCTAAGGGGGTAGTTGGCGCCGTCAACGTTTGAATCTAATACATCTGTTCACATACTTATAAACACACACGTACGTAATTTTATAAAACGTTGGTAAAAGAAAAGGGTTTCTTCGATCGAGGTTCATAAGTCGGAAAAGGGGAATAGTAGTTGGAAGTCGGCCATGAGATGGAGAGGCTGAAAGCTTTCAGCTAAGATGGACCAGGAAAGCTAAAAAGGTAATGAGAGGTTGGTGGTTAGATTTTTCGGATGATGAAAAGAAGTTATAATGAAACAAATGAAAAGTGGGTTTCAGGCATATGGTGGGATATGGATTCGATATGAAGAGCCGAAAATCCTGAATGGAGAAAGTTTGACTGTCGTATGACAACCATGGCCGACATCGCCCCACTCATTCTTATTCGGTTGTTGATACGTCTGCCTCTTGTTCTTCTCTCTCTCTCTCTGTTCAACTCTGAAATCTGAATACCAACTCAACCCTAGCAATATTGAGTCGCTGTGAAGTTAAATGATTCTCTTAAACATGACCGACGTCACCCATGTTATATATTATGTGAGGTCTAAGATTCTTTTAACTAAATGACCATTTGATGGACTGAACTGAATGACCTTTGTCTCTTAGAGAATAAGTCATCAAGTCATGAGACTCATATCAATGGCTTAATGGCTTGTTCAGTTAATTACTTAATTTGTCCCCTAAATATTCTATTTTATCCGCAAGATGACAAAGCAATAAATCATTCACTCCAGCCGGAATACTAATTTACTTGGAGAAATTATTGAAGGAAAAGATTCCATTAAACCGGCTTCAGGTCATCCATATAGCTATCCACTCTTTTGAGCCATGCCCCACCAAAAGCAATGATATATCATTAACATTTACATTAATTAACAACTTATATATAGTTACAGTGAATAGAGGCACCAAGAACGACCCTCCAATAAAATAAAATATAAGGGTAAATATTCAAATTAAGCAAGATATAATTCATACATTATATAGAAAACGAAAGGAAGGAGAAGTTTCCAAGAGGATCAACTACATAATCTTGTTAGACCGACCTCTTCTATATGCTATTCACAGATTAAGGGGGACCCTTTATGCTTTTCATCTACTCTGAGTTGAAGAAAATTTGTTGCAGATGAGATTGTTCTTTATTTCTTTGTTAAGATTTCTTATAACAAATCTGTATGTGCATTATTCACCTTTTTCATAAATTTGATTAGTAAAAAGAATTAATATATTCATTATCATCATTCAAACCTTATCCTAATTATAGGGATCGGCTATATGAATCTTGTTTTGTTATTCCATTCTATTTAAATTGTATACAAGCACTTTAATCATTTCTTATTGCCGCCCATGTCCCTTTTGGTCTACCCTTGATCAATTTATCTCTTCAACTTGTAATGGATCTCTTCTTAAGGATGCTATTGATGGTTTTCTACATAAGGGTCTATTTGGTTCGCAGTAGTAATGGAAATCCTTTGGAATCAGAATTGAAATGGTCTATTACCATAGTCTGTTTGGTTCAGATAGGAATGGGAATGAGAATATGAATCAGCAGGAATGGGATTTCATTCCCAAGGAAAGGGGCAAGGAGTAACATTCCCTCAAATGGGGGAGTGCTATTCCAGTAAGAATGAGAATGGGATTCCAAAACCGCTCAACCAAATAATTAAAATCGGAATAACTCATTTTGATTCCGATTCCAAACCCTTATCCCCACTAACCAAACGGGGCCTTAGAAATAAACAGTATTCATTTTAAGTATAAATAATTAAGAATAAGCTCTTCAAAATATCTGATAGGGTCAGCAAATTGGTCCCACAATTAAACCTAATAAATCAAAGTTACTGTGTCCAACGAATTAAATGTTGAATCAAATCTTGGTGCTTGGATGGTTCAGCAGCCACGTACAGATGGTGAACTGTGAATAACAAAATTATTAAAGCTGGCAACTGTTGTGAGAGTCAAATTGAAGCATTCAATATATATTATATGCATAAACTCAATTTAATACTTATTGGTTATATTTTGAGAGTACCAAAAAAGAGGAATGTATGATCTTTGGAACCTGCAAATAAAAGTTTGCTGAGTGGTTCAAGATTGTATTTGGTGTCATTGTTGTTTCTGTTTGAAATGTTATATGTTTATCAATATAAATCGGCATACGGTTGAAGTAATTTATAATTTAATCAAATATTTATATATATATATATATACAATTATAAAGCAGATATTATATTTATTTTGATTTTGGTGTAAGTCATAAAAATTAAATTTGATTATAAATGTCTAACTTATATTTTTACTCTTTATTTACATATATACGTAACGCTTACACTTGTATTACGTAATGAGATACTTGATTTTGGTTCTATGTAGTTCATAAAAAGTAAAATTCAAATACCAATACCATAAATAATATTGTCTATAGTTAATATAAAATTGTAATATATATCACAATACTGTATTTATATAAATAGCAAGTTAATATAACTACATATCTCTCACCAATTTATATTGTATTGATTGCAGGTAGTACATGATAAAAACAGCAATGACAAATGATAGTACCAAATACAACCTAAATCTCTGTGCTAATTGGTACAACAAACAGGTGCCATTTTGTCTGATTCTATAAAAGAAACGCAATTGAGACTGACGTCAATAACTCCAGGAAGGACAGGAATTAAGACCGAGGTCAATAAGTGGGGGTGCCCTTTCAATGAAGGACTGCGTATAAGTAAACCGACATCCATAGATTCGTTACTAAAGTAATCCCCCTTTGAGCAGTGGAGGTTTTGGCATAGAATTCAAACATTCACCTAACTAATTATATAAGGTGGTAGTTTAATAGGTCAGGTAATTGATTTTTTTTTTCTTCTCACTTTAATGAATTGAATTAAAACATTCCACAGGTTTCAGGATTCTGCCATTTGGGTATTTCAAATTCTAAATTTTTGCATTATTTTTGTACCAATTGCAGGATTTGTTCCAGCAGTGACTTGCTATCATTAAAATATTGATGTAATGTTCCATTTGGGTATTTCAAATTCTAAATTCAATTGAACTATCCTTCAATTGAATAGATGATTTGTTCCAGCAGTGACTTGCTATCATTAAAATATTGATGTAATGTTATACTGTTTGTTTACTTAAGAGAACAAGGACTCGTGATTAATACCCAAAAAAGAATTTCAATATTTTTGCAATTCGAAATTGTGAGGGGGTGGGGGTCATTTGATTGATTGGTAGGAAAGCTCCTAAACCCGTTCGAACCAATAGTCTGGCAAGCTGACCTATGATGACCCAACATCGCAAATTAATGTTTTCTTTGAGTTTCTTTAATGGAAAGAAGCTCTCTAAGTCAGCCTAGGGGCCTACCCTTTCTATGTCGAGATGTTGATCTTGTAATCCGTCGCTACCCCCTTGGTCGCCCCATGTTGACAATAATACAATTCAAATTCAACTTGGTTTTTTGGCAAATTCAAATTCAATTCCATTTTCATTGAAAGAAATTTCAATTCAACTCCATCCAATCATGTAAATGGAGGGGGAAGGGAATTAGGTGGCGTTGCTTTCTTGCTCTTGCCGTGTAAATTAAGGTTGTGTTTGCCTGTTTGATACAATTATTGTCTTCAGTTGAAACGTTTCAGATTGATCAATACAAATTTATGAAAAATATGTGTTGTTACATCACATGTGAGAGTCACTTCAGTTAATCCCTTTGGAGCACAATACACCAATTCGACATTTCTACGAACAGCCTCTTACACCATTTAGGGGTATAGGGGCCATTGCTTGATGTCAGGGTAAAATCTTGGAGTGACAAGAAAAACATGGGGTCTTAATCTGAGAGCGGTGACTTCGTACAAACATCAAATTTTGATGAGTCGCAGAGTCTATTTCTCATGTAAGGCCTCGATCGAATAGCTGGAATCAACATTGGGTAATGACCTTTATGATAAAAAAACCTTTATAAACCTTGTATATGTTGTCCTATCTTTCCCTACTTTTTCCTTCAAACCAAATGCAGCCTTATAGTATCTTCGAGACTATGTGAAACATCGAAAATTTCGCTGTCATTCCAAACTGGGGTCGTCTAGCTTGGAGGGACTGTCATTCCAAACTGGGGTCGTCTAGCTTGGAGGGGACTGATCCAGCAGGCCAAATTAAGGCGCAACTATTAACAGGTTTGGTTGCAGCCAGACTGAGCCAAGTGAGGGAACTGGCTAGGCAATCCAGGTTAGAAGTGGGAAATCTATTTTAGTACAAAAATTGCAGTTTGAGAGTGGAAATTAAGTGCTAAATCCATTGCAGCCGAACAGGAATTAATGCAAATCCTGGCATAAAGCAAACATGATATTCTTTAATTCTTCAGTTTTGCCTATTAGGGGGCATAATATTATATTACAACATACAGAGAGATAGATTGCTGATGAGGGGTAATTTGGCACGACCTAATAAGTGATGAGGGGTAATTTGGCACGACCTAGTAAGTAAAGGTCACATTGATGCGATCTGCCCGTAAAATGACAACTCAGCAAGGGGAGTCTAGTCAGCAGTTTTCAGAATTCGGATGTTCGGCCACCTCGGCGCCTAAGCCAGTTCGGGGTCCAGGAACCGGGGTGACATGTAATTGATTCCAGAAGCTTCTCAGCGGACTTCGAACGTCACAGGATCACGTTGCGTAACGACAGGACTCATCCTCTCCCCGCCCGGATCAGGCGGCAACAATAAACTTCATTGACTAGTACGTTACCCCCCGACTAAAGCGGAAACGGATCTCATCCACTCAGGCCAAAGATCCCGGAACTATTGCGCAAGACCCATGATTGCTCAGCTATATAAGGGCATCAACCCCTCCAGGGTCCTAGTACGCGTGATTACTCACATTCAATCTCTTTACCATCCATACTAGTTCGCAAACACACAGGATACTGACTTAAGCATCGGAGCGACCTCACCGGGTCTTCCACCCCAGTCCCTCTGAGCACTGTTTTGTTGATTGATCCAGCTCACCACGTAAGTACGTCTAGCCAGTTCTCCAGCTAGGAGCTTCTAGATCGCGCATTATCAATTGGCGTCATCTGTGAGAAATGATCAAAAGGTCATCCCGATCCTAGTTATAGTTCCAGTTTTCTTTCCAACCTCAATGGATTCTTCCAGCAACACCGGGAAAAGCATCGAGTTGAATGCCACCGGGGGGCAAGATCAACGATCATCCTTCCCCCAAGGCCCCACGGTATGTATTGGCCAGTTTACTATTCCCCATATAGCTTCAGGGGTCCCGTCACTGTCTGTACGACAGGGCACCACNAACCTCAATGGATTCTTCCAGCAACACCGGGAAAAGCATCGAGTTGAATGCCACCGGGGGGCAAGATCAGCGATCAACCTTCCCCCAAGGCCCCACGGTATGTATTGGCCAGTTTACTATTCCCCATATAGCTTCAGGGGTCCCGTCACTGTCTGTACGACAAGGCACCACACAGGTGAGCATCCCTCTCCCCCTAATGGGCATGACTTTCTCTGAGCCATCTGTGGTCCCTCTCGGAGTCGAGCACTCCCAATTTCATGATCTTGTTTAGTGTGTCCAAACAATACAGATCCAAATGCAACAGGTCCAACACTTTCAACAATATCAACAGTACTACCTGTACCAACAGTATCAGTAGTAGTTACCACCACTACAGCCGAACCAGTTGCCGATTCCACCTCAGCACCTAGGATTATGCCAGGGCCAGAACCAGCCAGAACGTCCGTCGATCCCCCTTTCGGGGTGAGGGGACCTTGTAGGTGCTAGTCCCTCCTAGGGGTCAGACTCCACCTCGTGGGAGGAGGGGCAGTCAACATACTCCCCTAGTATCCCAAGGAAACCTTAGAAATAGGCCTGTGGATAACCAACTCTACAGGTCCAACCCGCCGCGACACTCCCAACAAGAGAACAATGGATCGCGAGGAGATAAGAACCAGCCCGGAGCTAGAGGCGCGAACTTGAGGCCAGTCCCTTCCGTGCCTCGTGATAGCCGGTGCAAACTCCACAATCAGGAGAACTCGACAAGAGGGAACCAAGACCCACCTCGCGACAATGTTCGTGACAATGTCGATATACTAGACCATACCGAGGTCAGCAGCACCAACGTCGAGCCAGTGAAGAAGCAACAACGGCGACGCCACAAGACTCATCACCCCTCTGCCAGAAACAACCCGCCAACAAAGCCAAACCAACAAGTAGAACAAGTTAAGGAAAAGGAAGAAGTGAGCTCGGTAGTAACGAAGACTGCGCCTCCCTTGCTTAGTCGGTCATCTCCTCTGTTTCCCGAGCTCCTAGCAACCCCAATGCCGAAAGACTTCAAGGTTCCACCACTGAACAAGTATTACAGGTCATTCGACCCCAATGATGGCGTAGGTTCTTTCCAGTCTCAGATGCACCTAGTCGGGGCTGACGAAGCCTGCATGTGTGTGGCCTTCTCCACCACATTCAGGGGAGTAGTTCGAACCCGGTATAAGAACCTTGCACCGGACTCCACCAAAAGTTGGGCGCAGTTTGCCGAGCTGTTCACTACGCATTTCATTACCATTAAGAAATGCCCAAAATCACAAGAGAGCCCCCTGAACGTGGTTCAGAGGGAAAGGGAGTCAATCAGAAGCTACATCAAGTGCTTCAACGACATCTGCCAGCAGATACCGGACCTCGATCCAACGGTCCGTCTCACAGCAACGAAAAAGGGGATCACCCACAAAGAGTTCAATTGGAATGTGGCAGCCAACAAACCAAAAGTTATCACCGAATTTCTTAAATTGGCAGACCAGTTCATCAATACCAAGGAGAAGATTAACCAAAAGACTGATAATCCATTGGCTGAAAAGAGGAAAAGGGAGGATGAAGGGATGAGCAACAACGGGCAGAAAAGAAAGAAGAGTAAGTCCCCGAACAGAGAAAGAAGCAAGCGGCCACAAGTCAGGTCAGCGTTCTAGGACTCCGCCAGTAGAGAGAACAAAATACACACCTCTGAATGGTAAGCGAGGAGAGATCTTAATGGCCAGTAAGGACTCCTCCTTTGTCAGATGGTCGCCCAGGCGAAGGGGAGACACGGCAACAAAAAACTAGAATGTCTATTGCCATTTCCACTGAGATCACGAACACAATATGAAAAATTACAAGAATCTCCACGACGAGATCGAAGAGCTTATCCGCCGCGGGTACCTGAAGAATTACATCATGCGAGAGGAGAGAAGGCAGGCAGACCGATAGGGGATCGTCAGGATGACCAAAGGAGGAATGCCCCGGAGACTAGCAGGCAGAATGAGTACCCACCTCGGCAGCTACCAGAGGAGAGGCCAGTTCGCGGAGTGATCAATACGATCACCGGCGGGTCCATCATCGCGAGATGTACATCAACAGCTAGGAGGACTTCAGTCCGCAAATTGAAGAACGAAGGCGAAAACCCGCCAAAGCGACCTCGACTTGAAGAACCTATCTACTTCACTAAGGACGGCGCGCACGGCATCCAATACCCGCATGATGATGCTTTAGTAGTGAAGCTAAGGATCAACGACTTTGAGGTGAAACACATTCTAGTGGACTCAGGCAGTTCAGCAGACATACTCTTCAAAGAGGCTTTCGACAAATTGCAGTTACAACATAGCAATCTGAAGGCGGCAGATACACCCCTTATAGGGTTCTGCGGCGAAGAGGTCAGGCCTCTTGGTCGAGACACAGTACCCGCCGAGGCAGGCACGTGGCCGAACATTGTACGATTTGAGCACACATTCCTAGTGGTCACGACTCTGTCCCCTTACAATGCGATAGTAGGTCAGCCTATCACACACGTTTTACATGCGATAGTATCCACTACTTAGCGATGAAGTTTCCAACTAACTATGGCGTGGGGGTCGTGCGAGGTGACCAACGCGAATCCCGTAAATGTTACATGGCCACTCTGAAAGGAAAAGTAAAGCTAGTGAAAGACGTTGAACTCGAGCAACCAGCGGAGTACACCAAAGAGCGAGCTACCCTGAAAGAAGAAACAATCCACATACCGGTCTCTAACGCCGAACCAACTAGAACTCTTCAAATCATTGCCTTGATCAGTGAGCCACTTCAAACTCAACTAGTAAGTTTTTTACTTACAAATTTATATGTTTTTGCTTGGTACGCTGTAGAGATGTTTGGGATTGACCCAAAAAATAATAACTCACAAGCTTAATGTCGACACTTTAGTCAAGCCAGTAAGACAAAAGAAACACAACCTCACCCCGGAACGATGGAGGGTAGTCGATGAGGAGGTCGGGAAGCTCCTCGCGGAAAACTTCATCAAGTAGTCCATTACCCGAGCTGGGTGGCCAACCCAGTTCTAATGAAGAAGGCCAACAGCAAGTGGCGCATGTGCGTCGACTATATTGACCTGAACAGAGCCTGCCCGAAAGACTACTTCCCACTGCCCAAGATTGACCGCCTAGTGGACACGACCTCAAGGCACGAGTTGCTGAGTTTTCTGGACACCTATTCCTGTTACAACTAGATTAGGATGGATCCTGCTGACTAGGACAATACCACATTTGTAACTGAGCTTGGGCTATACTGTTATAAGGTTATGCCCTTTGGATTGGAAAATGTTGGGGAAACATTCCAGCGCCTTGTAAATAAAGTTTTTTAGCCATTGATTGGCAATAAAGTAGAATGTTATGTTGATGACATGGTCGTGAAGACCCAGTTTTCGAATTCTTTGTTAATCGATTTAAATGATGTTTTTCAAAATTTAAGAAAATAAAATATGAAATTAAATTCTAATAAGTGTGTTTCCGTAGTCACTTCGAGTAAATTCCTAGGCTACATAGTCAACCAATGTGGTATTGAAGCCAACCCTAAAAATATAAAGGCAATCCTATCCTAGATATGAGACCACCTCAAAAAATAAAAGAAGTTCAGATGCTGACTGGCTAGGTCGCAGCCCTAAGTCATTTCATGTCTAAATCAGCAGGCCGATGCCTCCCCTTTTTTAAAGCAATAAAAAAGAGCAAGGATTTAAAATGGACCGAAGAGTGCCAACTCGCCTCTGACGAGCTGAAATAGTACCTAAGTACCACATCGGTTTTAACTCAACCTAAGGAAGGGGACGAGTTAAAACTATACATCTCCGCGAGTGATGAAGTAGTTATTTTGGAACTAATCAAAGAAGTAGATCGGGTCCAACGACCCATCTACTATATTAGTAAAATTTTGTTGGATGCAGAGACTAGGTATCCGGAGATCGAGAAACTAGCATATGCACTAGTCATAGCAACCCGGAAACTACACCCATACTTACAGGCCCACACAATCGTTGTTCTCACCAACAGACCCCTAAGGCAAATTTTGCTCAAGCCTGAGGTGTCTGGAAGATTGATGAAGTGGTCCATCGAGCTGAGCGAATACGATATCCGGTTCGAGCCACGACCAACAATCAAAGCCCAGGCCTTGGCAAACTTCGTAGCAGAGTGCACGTTCGATGCACCAACCCCTGATTTGACCAAGCTCACTCACATGTCAAAGGCGTCAACCAGTGCGGCACTAGACCCGGTCAATGTAATACCAACTTGAGATGGGGAGCCCTGGATCTTTCACATTGTCCAACCAGTAAGGAAGCGGTGCGGGACTGCTACTGTACGGCCCAAGCGAGGTGAAGCTGGAGTATGCTCTCCGATTTGGATTCGAGCACTCGATCCAACATCACGGGACCTAGGCATAAAGTCACCTCGACACCTAAGACAGTTCGGGGCTTAGGAACCGAGGTGACATGTAATCGATTCCAGAAGCTTCCTAATTGACTTCGAACGTCACAGAGCGACCTCACCGGGTCTTCCACCCCGGTCCCTCTAAGCATTATTTTGTAGATTGATCCAGCTCACCACGCAAGTATGTCCAAACAATTCTCCAATTAGGAGCTTCCAGATCGCGCATCATCAGTAACCATTGGAATTTGGACAAAATAAACAAAGCAGAAATCCAATCAATAGAAACATTGAACAGAATTATTATAAGCAAAAAGGATAAGCAATGGAGATTATTAAATTAATCTACATTTCTCCATTGTGGGGGAGGTATTAGTGAGAGGAAGCCACCAGAATATCTTATTAAAAAGAAAAACTCAGAACGTCGGATTTTACAATTGCAAATGGCTTTTCAAAAAACAAAAGCAACCAATATGCAAAACACACGATACCTACTCTCTTTTGGAGAAATTCAAGCACAGTGTGTGGGTCTTATGATACATATTAGGAAAGTAATCTTTCCTTTCTGAAAAAGACCTTTTATTGTTTTTCTAAGGGCTATGATGATTCAATAAGGCCTTACACATGTGGGGGATGATGGGATTCCATTTCGTATTCATTCAAATACCCAAACTCTACTGAAATCTCTGAAATCTGAAATCTATATCCAGTACTGGTGGAGATACAGAAAGCACAATCTAATGGGATTCTAATGTGGGGGCTGGCATCATCATCAGGAACCATGAAGGAGAGAATTCATCATGGGCCGAGTTGTTAGATTATTCCCAATTGGTTCTTCTGAAAAGTTAGAGTCTTTTGCAATGCTTTATGCTTTGCAATTTGAATGTGAATTGGGCCTTACCCAAGTCTCAGTGGAAAGTGATTGCCTAAGCCTGGTTAAAATCCTATTTGGTGGATTACTTCACATCACCTTGGTGTGTTGCCATTGTTGTTGGTAATTGCAGGAGTTTATCTTCTTTCTTTAATTTCCTTTTTGAAATTTCATGCATACATGAAGAAATCCAAATCAAGTTGCACACTCATTTGGGAATTTTGTTTGTAATATTCAAAGCATCTATACATGTTCATGATCTTGTAAACGATTCTCTTTGATATAATCTCTCTCTCTCTCTGGATTGTCCCTCAATGTAACACTCAGGCCAGATCCATTAGTAATTTATGTTCATAAATATATGTATGTACATGAATTTATTATTTTCCATAAATGCCACAAAAACGTTATCTTTGGGAACAAATATTTAATTTCTTAATTTGTTTTTTACTATTAATCATTAGAATCCTAAATATACAAGGATCCAGCTAATTGCTACAGCTATTAGTTCATCTAAAGAAGGAAAGATTTAAGATAATTTTTCTACAGAATTTAGTTTGTTGCCTCCATGAATTAAAGATGTGTGACAGGATCACAGGAACTTTATGTAAAAAGTTCAGAAATTTGGTTGAGAAATGATCAAGGTTATAGTGAGGGAAGGAAATATGAGAAAAAGTTACCCTTATCATTAAAAATTGGAATTCGTTAAACAACCCATTTGACCAATTGGTATCAAAGTAGACTAATTGAGAGGCATGTTATGTTTGCATTCATATATTTAGGCCTCATTTGGTTCGTGGGAATAGGGGTTTGGAGTCAGAATCAGAATGGGCTATTCCAATTCTAACTATTTGGTTGAGCAGAATTGGAATTTCATTCCCATTCTTGCTGGAATGGTCATTCCCCGTCCTTCCATTAGAAATGAATTCTCATTTCTGCTGATTCCAATTCTTATTTCCATTTCTATCTAAACCAAACAGACTATGGAAATAGACCATTCCAATTTCGATTCTGAAGGATTCCAGTTCCGGCTGCAAACCAACGGACCCTTAATTTGGTTCTACAACACCCCAAGAGTGAAATTGTTGTTTGATTGTTATTTGAGTCAGCAATCTATGGTTCTAAAACCAGTAAAATGATTTTTTTTTTATTAACACAAGATTTTATAGCTTTCTCTCAACTACACAACATGCATGGTTTGCAATGAAATGATGGTACGATCAAATGTAAATACTGAGGTACATATACTGATATACACATTCAACGCTCTCATGCCATAATTCAAAACATGAACCATATATAGAACAATCACTTTTGTATTGTTTGGTTCATAAAATGTATTTTATTGATACACCAGATACCCAAATTAACTTGGGTTAGGTGTGTATCAATATGGCTGATATTCATAATTTTTTTATTATTTTTTGGTTTTTATTTTATAATAATCAGGGGATTGGAAAAGATGATTGAAACCTTTTAAATATTACAAAAAGTCTATATATCAATCTATCTAAATATGTTTCATTACACCAATACCAATACGATATACCCCAAATGGAACATATAGTATTGATATTTTAATCCTTCAACAAATACAACTTAAGAGAGCATAAATGTATTTAAAAGTATAAACTTCATCTTCATGTCTTATGACTTTATGTAGCGATGTAAATAGAGATAATAGAGGGGAGGAAAAGGAACATGTAGGTATCCTATGCCATAGAGAAATGAAACCTTTCCTACAAAAGATGACTCTTGAAATTAATTAGATTTGGGGTTTCTACGTTGAGCTTTCTTGTTAGATCATCCTTACCATTCACATTCTTAATCTATGAGATAGTCTCTTTCATCTATTATTCATTGTCCTGAATTTTGGGTGGAAGAAGCAGACCTTTATAAAACTCACTCTAAGGACTTCTTGAGAGTTTGCACCAATAACAATAAGGCATGTCATCATTCATCATCTACGATCATGGATGTATCTTACGTGTTTTTTCTTTTCCATTTTCTTCTTTTGTTGATAAATATTCTTTCCATTTTCATGGTCATGATTCAAGGTACGTTTGAATTTGTGTATCCAAGGCCAGAGTTGTTGCTTAAACAAAGCAGGTGTAGAATCCTTTCCTACATGACAGATGATATATAGAGTGATTTATAAAAGGAGAAAGAAAAGGTATGCAAATAAGCCGGTACTCATTAGGGGTGTAAACGGATCGAATTTAAATTAGATCAAGCAAAATCTTAATTTGAATCTGATTAGAAAATTTGAATATTTAATTCGATTTGATTCAAATTCGACTAATTAATTATTTTAAGTAATTAATAAATATTTTATAAAGTATATAAATATATAAATTATTTATATAATTTAATTATTATATAAATTATATAAAACATTTAAATATTTTATATATTTTATATATTATATATAAGAATTAAATAATCGGCCGAATTCAGATATTTATCAAATCGAATCAAGTCATATCAGAATTCGAATCCAATTAATTATTCGGTATGAATAGGATATCCAAATTTGACCAATTAGATATTCAAATTATCTGAATTCGATTCGATTATGTCGAATCTTGAATTCAAAATTGGATTTTTTAATTCCATTGACACCCCTAATCCTCATGATGGAATGGACATTCCCTCCCTCTCCCTTGAGAACAAAATCTCATTCCAGCTGATTCTAAATCTCATTCTAATTCTTGTCTGAATCAAACAAATTATGGGAATAGACCATTCTGATTCTAATTTCAACTAAGAACCAAATGGGCTCTAAATCTATTACAAATTGAAGGATTAGAAGAAATAAGGGCAACAAAAAGGGACTTAGGTAGAAGTAACAAGTAATAAGTGCCCATAGTTTAAAGACCCACAAGGCAAACAGAAGAGATATAGTGAAACAGGATTCATGTAGCCAACCACAAGGCTTAGATGATGATGATAATGATATAAAATAAATAGTATAAATATAAAAATGTTATAAAATATAAAAAATATTTATTCAAAATTTCTTTGATGCAAGGTAAATGAAATTTCTAAAATTGAAAAGGAGTTGCCCTTTTGGAAGGTGGGCCTTCATGCATGAATTCTAAGGCAACTTTACCTCACAAACGTGTCCAGCAGTGGTTCCAGTAAATTCCTTTATCACCTTTCAAAACAAGAAAGGGCTGAGTATATGCATAAAGAGGCAATTGCTTTTCGTCTGATTTGGGGATTGAGAAACAGGAAACTGCATCATCCCAGCACCCATATGGGTTGTTTGCCACAACAGATCCCTAAGAAATCAGAAATTCCATTGCCTATAGTCTATAGTGAAGGAAGAATTATTTGTTGATAGCTCTTACCTTTATTCGCTAAACACAGCTGCCAATTCATGTGTACATAATTGCAGGGTAATAGCAGCAGTAGGTCTCGGGGTATCAGCTCAACAACCATCCTGAATGGAGTGCGATCATTTGGAATTGGAGGGGAGCGGTGTCAATTAGAATGGATTTGGTCCATTCCAATCCAGTCCAATGTGAGTCTATTGTAGATGGATCAGGTCTAATCCAATCTAATGTATATTTTAGACTATTTTGGGTCGGTTCAATTTAATGTGTGGACTGTCAAATCTATTCAAATTCGTTGATTTAAATTGGTTTCAATTCAAATCCGATTTATTGATACTTATATTCTTATCTTATATCAATGGATCAGATATTGGCTTAATCCAACCTAATCCAATATAAATTTAGGACAAATCAAGTCTAATCCAATCTAATAAATATTTTAAACTAAATTGATCCAATCCAATATATCTTATTGGTCCATCCAATCCATCTAAATTAATTTTGGACCAAATGGGGTCTAATCTAAAACCGGTTTATTGACACCTTTATTGGAAGGAACAGGATGCAGTAGGAGAGAAATATCCAAAAGCTCGTACTATTTTCTGTTGCACTGTCTATATTTCATACTATAAACAGCAATACATTGATATATAAGTGGAT